TATCCTATTTAATGTGTGCCATATCTTTTCAACTTGCTCTTGAGCATAATATATGCATAAAGTTTGGGGCATTGTCTTCTCTTTCCTGAATTATTGTTTCCTCCAGGTCATTTTCTTCCTTTTTGTTCATTCTAGTTTCTACAGACCACATCCCAACCACAGCAGGTGGGAATGGGCATTGTGGGCATGTTCTTAGCAAGTTCTGTCTTAGAGATACATTTGAAGTAGTAAGATGAGATGATGCAATGTCTGGGATTGACTTTGGTCCCTTGTGTGCGAAGGAGCTGGGGGTTAGGTGACCTAGGACAGGTTGTGTCTGACTCTTGAGGCCGGCAGTCCCAGCTACTCAGGGGGCTGAAGCGGGAGGATCACTTCAGCCCGGGAGGTTGAGGCTGTAGTAAGCCGTGATTGTGCCACTGCACTCCAGCCGGGGCCACAGAGTGAGACTTTGACTCCAAAAAGGAGGAAAAAAAGCCTCAAAAGTAAGGAAGAAAGCAAAAAGGAAAGTAGTAACAACTGGAGGCTCACCGGGTTCCTGCCCTTGGGGGCTGCCAGACTCCTGGGACCCGGGGTCTTGTTCTTGGGACCTTCCTGTCCTCTGCTCTCTGCCCTGGGGGTCTGGGGGGCAAGTCATCCCTTCCTGAGTCTGGGAGAGCCCTACTTCAGATGCTCCGGGCTGCTGCTTGCTTTACCCAAATGTCCATTTCAGGCTTCAATTCACTGTTCGTTTTCCAGAAGTCTTTGGAAATCCCGGATGGCCTTGCTCCCATTCTCCTCACTGTTGTGGATTTGTATATGTGTATATTTTAATTTTACTATCATTTTCGAGGTCTCTGGAGGGAGGAGGACATGTGTACCGCCCATCTGCCATCTTTTCTGGGAAGTTCCGTAAAGATATATTTAAGCGACTGCATGTTATTGCCTGGAACAATCCCAGTGCACTTGGGGACTTCCTGGTTGGGCACGGAGGATCCAGGAGCTGTTTGAGGAGATGGTGAGCACTGCCCGGCCGTGCGGAGGTGGCGTCATGGCAGGGCCCCCGGCAACTGGGCTCACTGAGGGACGGACTGAGTGGGGGGCAGGTGGGAGTGTTTGCCTGGGGACGGCGAGTCGCCCATCAGGCTGCCCTTGCTTGGGGAGCGGGCGCCGGGCCTGACCCGTGGCAGGCGAGTGAGGGCTGGGGCTTTAGGCAGGGCTGATCAGGGCATCGCCGTGGCTGCATCCTGCTGCCCGCTGCCCCTCTGCCCTGTGTGGGCGCCGGCCAGGCCTCTTCTAGTCTGTGTGGAGCTTTCGCTCACGCCCACCGCACACCGGAGGGATGCTGGTTGGCCTTCTCCGGAACTCCCGCCCCAGACCCTCAACCTTTGCGAGTCCGGGAAGACAGTCTGGTGTTCGTCAGAGGCTCTGGGAGCAGGAGGAATGGGTTCAAACGGCAAGTCCACAGGGAGCCAGGGTGGGCGTTGGGGTCTCACGCTGCTCCCCGGCTGCCTCCGCCTTTACGTGACCCGGCGGCCACCTGACCACCTGAGGGATACCCCTGTCAGTGTGACTTTAAGTGACCAATGTTTGGACATCGTTGGGCTGTTTATTTGGGTGAGTAAGCAAAACATTTGCTTGCAGGGATGGCTTTTGCTTCATTTTGCTTTTTGGGGGAGATGGGGTCTTGCCCTGTCCTCCAGCTGGAGTGCAGTGGCACAGCCGAAGCTCGCTGCGGCCTTGGCTTCCGGGCTCAGGTGGCCCCGTCCCCGCCGCAGCCTCCCGAGCACGTAAACTCCCTCACGGTCGGGAGGCCAGCAGTCTAAGGCCAAGGCATGGGCAGTTCTGTAGGAGCCAGCCTTGCCCCTCTGGCCTCTGGTGGTCCTTTGGCTTGTGACGCATCGTTCTGTCCCTGCCTCTGTCTGCACGTGGCTGGCTCCATATCTGTGTGTCCTTTCCTGTCTCTCACTGGATCTAGGGCCCACCCTAATCTCATGGCCGCGTCCTCGTCCTTTCCTTAATGACATCTGCAGAACTCTATTTCCAAACAAGACTCTGTTCTGGATCTTGAGGGGACCCTGTTCAGTCTTGGCCGTGGGTGTGGCAATGGCAAACACAGGGAGTTGCTGAGAGCAGGGTCTGGGGGTGGGAGGCTTCACTGGACACAGACCCGGAGGTGGTAAGTGTGAGCCGTGGGAGCATCTGGGGGAAGAGCGTGGCAGGCGGGCCGAATGGCAAGTGCAGAGGCCCTGGGGCAGCGGCAGCAGCCTCGGAGGCCCAGCGGGAAGGCCAGCGTGGCCGCGCCTGCCTCGAGGGCTGAGTGGGGAGTCGGTGGCCCGTGGGGACACTCCGAACCCGTGGCTGGTGTGGCTCCTGCACCCTGGGCAGTTGGTGGCTGCTGGGATGGCTTGAAGCCTCTCCTTCCTGTGATCCCAGGGGCCGTTGTCTTCACTCCCCTTCCCAGGTCAAGGCCAGAGAGGTCAAGTGATTCACTCAGGGCCGCGCAGTGCACTGGAAAGGGAAGAGGCGTGCCCAGCTCCGTTCCCTGGGCTGTCCTCAGCTGCCCAGTGTGGCTGCAGCATTGGGATCGGAGACCCAGACACGAGGGGCCCCCTGGGCCCTCCAGATGCCTGGGACTCTGCCCGCTTCCCTCTTCCTCTTCCTCTCCCT